TCTCTTAAATTATTATATTTATTGTTTAATTTTTTTCTCACAAGTCTTTATTTTCATGTGTTATTTTTTACATTTCTCTGTCTTCTGCTTTTACTTTATGCATTTCTAAGTCATTACGCAAATAATGTGGGCGGTCCTTCCCGCTTCAGCTCCTCTACTATTGGTCGAGAGACAGGAAGGAGCAGGATCCATGTGTAGACTTATTGTGCATGCTTGTGCTAACTCAGTTTAGATTAAAAATTAGTTCAAAATAAAGGCACAGGTAAGTGTTTTCCTCCTTGCTTTTGTTTTTAACTTTTTTTTGTTTATTTCTAAATATGTGAGTTTCAGTCCTCCATACCTTTGCATTTTTAAGGTCTTAAAAGTCATATAAATACATGTATTTTTTTATTCTTGGAACATGTAATTGGCATATATGTCCGTGTATGTCTATTTTTTATCAAAAGACTATATTACAACCAGAGTTTTCCAGTCATATGTTTGCAAAGGCCATTAGCTTTGTCAGTGTCAGAATGTGTAGATTGAGAAGCATTTTTTAAACCATACACCACGTTTACCAACTTCCTAAAGCCAATGAGAGAAAGAAGTAACTATTTTAATCCACATAAAACAAAAAAATAAAAAGTAAAAATAAAAAAATAGTAATAAACCAGTGACTGAGCACAGTAGACATACTGGTCCAAAAACAAAGATGTCACTTGTTTGTAATAAAATTTTATTGAGTTTTCACACTAAGAAACTACTACAAGTCAGCACTTTTTTTTTTACTTCCCTTCCACTGCAATAATATTAACTTTTTCTAAAACCCCACTTGTTCATGTACACACTAAAAGGACAACATTTTTAAAGTGGAGTTACAGAACTGAAAAGAGTTTAATTTTTCACAATAAAGAAGCAGCAATACAAGAAAAGGAAGATTCCTTAGATCCTTCTTCCTCCCATGATGGTTTATGAGAGGCAGCACACTTTGTTGCTAATCATCACAACTGCTCTGTTTAAGCCCAAGGTGGGAGTCTCACAGGAAATCTAGAACAAACAATCTGCTCCCTTAGTGCTTGCTTGCATATTTGAAGAAAGAATCAAAGAGGCAACATCTCCTGGGCACATAGAAGAAGCAGTGCTTAAGGCACAACCAAGTCTACAGTGTGCTGTCAACATATCACATCAGGGATGAAGTTGTTTACTGTATTAAGTATTGCTAAATTGTAAGTAAGTTTAAACTGATGTTATACATAATATTTTGGTTCATGTTTCAGCAGGATGCTAAGTTATGGTTTAAAGAAAATAATGAGTTTAGATTTCTGTTTTTGAATTCAATCACAACACAGTGCAAAATAAGATATTTGGGAAGATGTGAATTGCAAATTGAAAATTGGAATAGTACAGCGGCTGTAACTAATAATGTTTACAGAGATATATAGAGGTATTCTATTTGCCATTGTTTCACTTACCTATTGTAAGGAATAACACTTACTTTACAAAATTAAGATTTTTCAACAACAAAAATGTAAACCAATACAAATATCTAAAAGCAAAACATGTTTCATAATATTAGCAAGACTGCAAAAAATGTACAAACTAAAGAAACAGACTTGAGCAAATCACCTCATTATTGTGGCAGATCAAGCACATGCCCCTGTTGTGATTCTACTAATGGCTGAACCATCAATGATCTTTTCAACTCAGCTAAAACTGCTCAGTAAAAGCTTAAATAAATGGTTTGGATGTTTTATAACGGGGTTCTGGAGTAGGTACAATGACTTAGTAATTTAGAGTTTAGTCTGTAGAATCAAAAGATAAATAA